ATATTTTCGAAATTCACAAAGAAACGCGGATAACGTTAAAACTAAAAAATGAGGAGCACCTCTAAGTTTTTATAGATATTTTTCAAAGATATCTAGGCAAAAACTTACCTTGTAGATCGGAAATAGCAGCCCAGCGGAATACGAAAATCGGTTACGCGTTATTTATCGACCGGCCGGCCAGCTGTGACCCTTCTGTGCCTGGCTGGGCGGCAAATACGAAAATCGTGGATCCAGCATCACTCCGCCCCCCGGGCGATAAGCAGGCTAACATCTGTAAAGAAATTTAGTAAAAAATTAAGTGAAACTCAGGAGAACGTTCAAAACTTGAAAGCACTGTGCACAGGAATAACCTGGTTGCTGGAGAACGGCGGAAAAATTTATATCGTGTGGATATGTTGAGCGGAAACATCCACTTATATCCGCTAGAGTAATTTGCGTGCTTATACTGTTTCGCAGAGAATGATGCATTGCTTTTTAATTTAACTACCGATTCGCTTGTGGGCCAGATCAAATTCCATATTTCCTTGAACAGCCCCAACAAAAACATTTCCGAAATTGGTTTGAAGCTTCAAAATGCCTAAAATTTTAAGCTTCTTAATAAATTGTTCTTGTTTTAAGCTTTTCAGTGAGATTCTAAGTGGCTGGCTATAGGCAGTTCGAACTGATAAAAATTGATGTAATTCTTCGATCGGACTATCTCGCGGAAAATCTGATTTTGTATACAAATTTTACGAATGCACCGCGACGCTACGTTTCATATTGCGCGATTATTATATTGCGTATACAGGGTCTCCTAATACAAAAGCACCCTTGAACCCGACGCAAAAGTATCGGAACTTAAAGATAGTTATATCCTTCGAAAGCCCCTAAAACGGTCTGCTTGCGTCAATCTTCAAAACCAGGTTATTATTTAACTGCGTCACTTTATAACGCATTTAAAGCGCACGTTCAGGGAGGGGCCGTGTACTCGTCCCAACGTGTACACCCTATGGACGTAGGGAGCGCCCGCACTGCCTGCCCCTGCTGTGACAGGCCATTCCTCTCCTTTGCGGCGTGGGGCGCCCCTCGCCTCCTCGCCAGGTTGTAGCTGTGGCTGACTGGTATCCATCCGCGTCTCCGGAGCGGGGGGCCCGGGTTCGACCACCGGCCGCGGCAAAAATCTTTGCTTTCTCCAAAAAACGTCCCTGGACGTGCCCTTTAAAGGGGCTCCGAAATCTGGTCCACGGCCCCCTGCTGTAATTCCTGGCAAATAGCCAGATGCGACCGCAACGCGACCGCGCCGCATGGTCTTTTGCCCCTGTTTGGACGCGAAAACGCTGGAATTTAAGAATTCTGATGCGATTTTTGGAATCCTCAACGAATTTGGATCATTCCAGACTTTTAAATTATGAAAATTGATCAGAGAATCGCCGAGATCGAGAGATTGGGTGCCTTACGAGGCATTACGACATGTAATCGCCGCCCACTCAAAAGGTCGTTTTCGCCCCAAAAAGAATTCAGTTTTTCTCAAATATTTTACGTTTTTTCGCAATCAAATCACTTTTCTGGCACTCCTCGGCAGCGACCCTTTCGTTTTTTGACCAGTAGGTTCAATCCCCGCACGCACGAATTTTGACTTCCGAGCCCCTTTAAAAAACTTCAAAACCGCTACTTCCGGCCATTTTATTTGGGGGCCATGAGGAAAATTAGCTCGTTGCAACCCGGAAATACCGCAGAATTTTAAGTGCTGCACAAGATAGGCTTGGTCTCGAATTCTCGAATTTCTATCCTGATCCAAAACCCTTTACCCAAAACCCCTGATGTTCGTTGTTTGGGAGAATCATTTAGCTTTTCAAAAAAATAATTCAAACACGCGGATCAAAGCGGAAGCTCCATCCATCGGACCACGTGTTTTTCTAACAACTTCCTCTCACTGTTTCTTGCCCATTTCCTACATTTAGGAGCACAAAGTGCGCGATCGGGATGGTTGTCTGTGCGGACCAGCGAGCGTGTGGCTGTAGAGGAAGTGTTTGCACAGTTCTGTATGTCCTCCTTCTCCTCGAAAAGCACCCCACAGCCCTCCACCCAGTATTCCATCCCGGCCAAACCGTCCGCATCCATCCACCAACCATATTTATCGGCCCGTCAATCGATATTTAAATTCTGAAAAATTACGTCTACTCATCCTGGCAGAATACAGAATATGCCGCTGGGTAGGTCAAAGGCCAATTTAAAGGGAGTGCGACAGCAGGCCAAAATCGAGACATATTTGGCTAACAAGGAGACGTTTTTGAGTATCCAGTCTCGATGAGAGCAAGCCTATCTGGTGCAGATTTTTTTACCATTCAAAACGCATCTCGCAAAATCTGTAAACCATGTAACCTAATCATGTTTGAAAGTGTAAAGTGCGACAAATTCCCAAAATGGCACACCTTGACGGTTTTCCCTATTTAAAACCGCATAAGTTTCTTATTCTAATTGTTTAACAAATTCTGAAAACACGAGTTTAATCAGCAAACAAATGCTGCACAAAATAAAACTGAGTGCATTTTGAAGTTCCTTGGACTCTTAAAAACGCCTCCGTGTAAGCCATAGCGCGAGCGTCATCGCGTTGTCATTCAACTATTTCCTAGGTCAAATTGTAAGCCTGAGCCTGATTGTGAGTAGGTATAGCCGATGGGTTGATTGGTGGCAGGGCGGAAAATAAAATTTTTCGAAAAGTTTTTGTTTGTTCGCTAAACGTTTCATACGGCATCAAGAATGACTTTTGACACATTTAGACAAGGTTCTGGACTTGTGCAAAAAAAAGTTGTCAAAAAGCAAAACGAAAAAATCGTGAGAGGATCCGTACCCTAGCCACTATCCTATCAAGCTAGTTTCTTACCACTCGGCCATTCAACTGGTGGTACCATGCTCATGGGAGACCCTAATAAGGCTTCCCCGATATGCTAATTTTTCGCATGCAAATCATCATTTTCCGGAAGTGCTGTATCTCTGTCCACAGGCCTCCGTAGCAAAATCGGACAGCGGCATCGTGTTCTCCGTAGTCGATTACCCGGGGGTAGCCGCGAGCGTTTTTCGAAAGGCCACCCTGTGAGCGTGCCCTTCCCTGTAAGCCTCGGCCTCAGCCTTAGCCTAAAGACCCGCTGATGTCTATACCTAAGCCGAGCCCAAGCAATATCCGTTCGCTAATTTTCCGAGCCATTGATGGCGTGTTTTGGAGCGTCGCGTAACTGCCAACATCCAGCAGGCAAAACCCTCGAATTTCGCGCTCTCTAGACCCTTTAAAGGCATTCTAAACATTTTTTGGGTTTCTAAAAGCAATTTTTTTGCATATTTTATCCTTAAAATCTTCACTTATTACCCTTTCAGCAAGATGCTCCCCAGCCAATTTCCAAGAGAGCTTACAAGTCTCGAAGTTTATGGCCCTGGCTGGACATACGATGCTTATGGTAAGCACAACCCAACTTTCAGAAATTACCGTTTTTCAGCTGCTCGCGATCGGTCTTCTCGGTTTCGCCATTCAAGTCCTCGTCGAATACGGATATTCGTCACCAATCTCCGGGACGAATTGTTTGAATTATTCGGCCGGCCTGGCGTTGCTGGTTGGAATTTTGTCATTTGCTTCGGCTCCACTGGGTTTTTACGCGACGATTATACACGATGCAAATTTATTAAAAGCGGTAAGTCTTTTGTAGCTCTGGATTTAAAGTCTACGTACCCTTTTTGGATTAAAATATACATATTTGTAGCACATGATGATCGTGTGCGTGCTGTCGATGTTTTGCATAGCCAGCCTGGGGCTTGGTTATGTAATGCAAAATGAGGTATAAGTGAAATTGTCTGTTTAACGTATCTCTTTTAGATACTCTCTGGCTACGTGAAAACCTGGGCCAACGAGAGAGTTTGCAAAGCGAGTACGGTCACCCGGATAACAAGCAGGCCACCGAAGCTTGGGACTCGATGCAGAGACAGGTACACAGATTCGGCTGAAAACAAAAAAAGTTTTTGAACGCGAGGTATATATAGAGACAATTTTTAAAGCTATGCTCGTTTTTCCAGCTAGCTTGCTGCGGCATGTCAGAAGAAGGACCCAAGAACTATAGAACGTCGGCTTGGCTACTCTCTCAAATCGAGTATCCTCGAAGATTAGTGCCGGAGAGCTGCTGCCCCACGTGCGGAACAATTCATGAAAAGTAAGTAAAGTCTCTTAAAACTGAAGCCTTAACTTACCCTAAAAGATCGAGCTCCGTAAGGTATGTTTTATCACCTCGATGTTCAGGTTTGCTACCAGTTCCTGCTCGACAAAGTCTCGGCCGAAAATGCTACTCTGCTTGAGAAAGTCTGCATTTTAGGTATCAAATTTTACGCAGTATTTTCCTACGGAGACTTTTTTTAGCTGCCCAAAAATGTGACCGGTCCTCAGAGATATTTCCGGATCCGGATGTGTGCACCGGGCGAAGAGCGCTGCCCGGCATGATTCCGGCCGACGCCTACCGACATCAACAGGTACGGTTTCGACTATCTTTCGGGTTTTCACACAATTAATTTCCCCAATTTCAGGGCTGCTACGAACAATTTGAACACGATCTCCTCGCGCACGCTCAGCGGCTATCTATTTTTGCCACCATTTTCGCAATTATCCTTATCATCAATTTTACTCTGACTTTCCGGTTATACCGTAAAATGACTGTATCCCCTTACGTTTCGATATATAGGCCTCGCTAAGGTAAAATTTGTCTGGTATCGTTTATTCATTGACTTATTCTGGTCACCACTACTTGTCCTTCTACCCCCACTCAGATGAAATTCGGGTCTGTACAAACATACCTATTTTAATAAATTATTTATCATTTAATCATCGTGTTCTTGAGATTCCGAATACTATAAATTACACGTAATATGGATGGTATTCGCAAATTATTTCAATTTTTTCGATTCGCCGCCATTATTGTTGGAATCCTTCGAGAGGCTGGACTTTGATGAGATGGATTTTTGAGGGGTAGTAGACGATTTGCTCAGCATTCGTCGAAGATACCTAAAATTCATCAAAATTTATAGATTTTGATACTTTAATAAGAGGATAATCCAATTTACGTTCAAACCCACCATCTTGCAAAGACATACGGTACGTAGAGCACGAAAAATACTGTCAAACCGAGGTCTAGACATAAATGCTTGGCTAGTTGGATGAGCGGATGATCGGCTGGGGATTTCAAAGGATTTCCCTGTTGTTGGGCGATGAACTCGATCCAGTGGAGTACCTTAAAAAAAGCACAATTTTTTTCCTGACTATTAAATAAAAATTGGTATGATTAAAGATCGAAACCCACCTCTTCAAACGGAGTATTTTTCCTTTGCTTGAATTCCTTCGACGCCCACTTGGCCTTGTTTTTGAAGCTGAAAATCGACAATTATTTGTGATTCTGCCGTAGCGAATTTTAACGTCAATTTTGAAGGTTTTCATCAACAAAACTTTGCTCCCGCCCAGCTTTAAAGGGACGAAAAACCCGACATGTTGACGCGCAACTAGCACGCAACGCGCACGTTCGTGTTCCGTATTGCGTATCGCGCTGCTTATCATGTTATATAGCACACGGCGTGTAGCGTTGCATGCGTAGTATGTCACGTTGCTCGTCGCGCTGCGCATCGCTGCGTGTCGCACCCTTTAAAATGCACTACTACGCCCTACTTACCTAGGATAGTCAAGCACATTCTTGATAGCCGCATACATTGTGCTCTCGGTAACGTCCTGCTTTTCGACGACAACGCCAAGGCCCTAAAATATCGTATTTTTCGGTTGAGCAACACCTACCCTTTGCGCAACCTTCCCCATGTTATGCCGATTCTGGCCATAGAGCGGGATTCCGACCATCGGGACGCCATGGGCCACCGCTTCCATGACTGATAGCATACCGCCGTTGGAGATTAGGAGTTTGCAGGATTTGTGCGCTAAAAGGAGGTTAATATAAAAATGTATTTGGCTGTCTATCTCTCTCACTCCCTGTCACTCTCTCTCTCTCTCTCTCTCTCTCGATCTGTCTCCCTCTCCCATTCCTGCCCTTACCCAGCAAATCATTCTGCGGAATGTAAGCCGTAAAGTTGATGTGGCTGGGCGGCTTCTCGACATCTACACCGGCCAATTTGATAGTTGGCCCCACTCGCCAGTAGATACGGTATTTCTTGAGCTTTGACAGAGCACCGAAGAGGGCTTTCGCCTGAAATTTTCCGATGATATTGATATTAGGTCAATACAATAGCCTACCATATATTCTGGCATATGCGCCGAACTGGCCTGCGTTCCCATCGAAACGATGATCATACCGGATTCTGCGGATTCGATCGAGGTGTTCCAGGGCTGAAAATATAAATTTTAATACGTGTTTGTGTGCAAAAAGTTGATGAAGACTTTTTAATGGTGCTTTTCGGCTGGGGGGACTTCGACCGATTACGACAGTTTTTAGGACACAAATGACGAAGGCTGTAAGTTTCGAAGGACCAAAGATCAAGGATATTTTTATAAAACCAGGGTTGAAAAGCCACTTCGCGACTTTTCAACCCTGGACCCGTCTAAATCCCATAATATTCTTCACTTTGCATAATTCGCCCAAACTGCGATGAGAAACACTGAGAAGTGCTCGCTCTCTCCCATTAAATAGGCTATCGCCACTTCCGGCTTATGGTAATTATTTCCTAACAAAGAGGTCGCCCGATTTTTCAACAAAAACTTAATTTTAACGTCGAAAATAGCATAAATTGCAAAATCTGGTATGCAAAGTAGTCATCTCGGTGCCATTATGCACCTAATGACGTGTCATCACGAAGCTGAAAACCCTTCCCTGGTGAGTTATCTCCCCGGACACGGTGACGGAAGTTGCATGCAAATGCACACTGACACACAAACACTATTTTTTTTATATATATACCAGCGGGGGAGGAGCGCTGCGCGACTCTCCCCCGCTGGATCCAGTCTGGGCCTTGTGAATCGAGCAACACTCCACAGACAAGTTATCCCTGAAGAAAAAAACCCATCTCCCATGCAAAGCTCTTTGTATTGGCATGCGGCGCAAGATTGAACTGTTGTCTCGTGTATGAGCCTGCGGCGCATGTTTGATCGGCTAGGTCGCTACCTCATCCTGCGGCCCAGCTGGAGGATTCGCCTCTTTTTTGGCCTTTGGCGCTAGCTTGAGCGGCCGGCTTCGTTCTGAAGCCTGCCGGCCGGGGCGTGAGCGGCTGGCTTCACTCTAAAAGCCTGCGGCGCTAGCTGCGAGGGCTGGCTTCGTTCTAAAAGCCCGCGGCGCTAGCTTGAGCGGCTGGCTTCGTTGAAGCCTGCGGCGCTGGCTTGAGCGGCTGGCTTCGTTCTGCCTGCGGCGCTCAGCTTGAGCGGCTGGCTTCGTTAAGGCCTGCGGCGCTAGGCTGAGCGGCTGGCTTCGTCTAGAAGCCTGCGGCGCTAGCTCGAGCGGCTGGCTTCGATTCTATAAAGCCTCGCGGCGCTAGCTTGAGCGGCTGGCTTCGTTGTAAAGCCTGCGGCGCTAGCTTGAGCGGCTGGCTTCGTTCTGGAAAGCCTGCGGCGCTAGCTGGAGCGGCTGGCTTGTTCCAAAGCCTGCGGCGCTAGCTTGAGCGGCCGGCTGACTCTGAAACCTCGCGGCGCTAGCTTCGGAGCGGCTGGCTTCAGTTATGAAAGCCTGCGGCGCTAAGCTTGAGCGGCTGGCTTGTTCAAAGCCTGCGGCGCTAGCTTGAGCGGCTGGCTTCGTTCCTAAAAGCCGCCTGCGGCGCTAGCTTCGAGCGGCTGGCCTTCGTTCTGAAGCCTCGCGGCGCCAGCTATGAGCGGTTACCGTTCTAAAAGCGCCTGCGGCGCTAGCTTGAGCGGCGGTTTCGTTCCTGGATCGCGGCGCTAAGCTTCTTGAGCGGCTGACTTCGTTCTGGAAGCCTGCGGCGCTAGCTTGAGCGGCTGGCTTCGTTCTGAACCTGCGGCGCTAGTTCGAGCGGCTGGCTACGTTCTGCAAAACCTGCGGCGCTGGCTTGAGCGGCTGGCTTCGGTTGTAAAGCCAGCGGTGCTAGCTTGAACGGCTGGCTTCTGCGGAAAGCCTGCGGCGCTAGCTTGAGCAGTTAGAGTTCGCCCGGCCTGCAGCGCGCATGCTAGCGCGGGCTAGCTTCATTCTATAGGCTGCGGCTTGAGTGACTAACTTCATAATAACGTCCCTACACGGAAATCCACTCCCGAAATCGCGCTTCCGAGCAAAAAGCAAAACAACTAGAATGTCCGACGATCGAACCTCCGATCTTTAGATTAGCACGAAGCGAAACGCTAACCACTACACCATGCAATGCTTGGTAGCACGCGCCAAACACCCGTTTTATGCCTCAAGAGGACTGCCCGGGGCAGGGGAAGCGAAGGTATCGAGAGGCAGATCCAAAGAGACGACCAAACTCGCTGAGTGCAACTGGCAAAAATGAGAAATTTGCATTTTTCACATTATGCAAATTAGCCCTCCCGGACCCGCTTCAAAAATCAATAAAACCGGCTTTAACTTTGTTAACCTGTATTTTATCGGGATTCTGGGAAAGCGCCACCGGAAAGAGGAGGGTCATCTCCCGCGGGGAGACGGAGAATTAAGGCATTTATGCAGGAAGGCCCTCAAATCGGGCCTCGAAAATGACGGCCGGACACACACACAGACAAAGGATACGTGACCAAATTATAATAGTAGACCAGGTTGGAAGTCGCTTCGCGACTTTTCAACCCTGGCCCCGTCTGAACTCACGATCCACTTAACTTTGCATAATTCTTGGATTCCGATGGCAAAAATGAAAATCGCGCTCCTATACCCGATTATATATAGGCCACCGGGAATTCAAGCGCGGCATGCTAATTTTTTCCTAACAAAGTGGGTCGCCGATTTTTTAACAAAAACTTGAAATCTAACATGTGTGCAGTCATCTCAGGACCATCACGCACCTAATGACGTATCATACATACCCTAAAATTCATCCCCTATCGAGATATCGTCCGGACACCCTGACGGAAGTTGCATGCAAAGTGTCACACACACACACAAACACTATTTTTTTATATATAGTAGGACCAGCGCCCAAAACCCGCTTCGCGGGCCTTGGGCGCTGGAATGCGGCCTTTGCATGAGAAATTTGGTTTTCGGAGAGCTTACGTCCTTCGGACCCCTCCCTTCCTCCGACCACACCCGCGCGTGCAACTTGCAACAATGTGGAAATTTGTAATTTTTGGAATTATGCAAAGTAACCCTCCCTGGCGCCGGACACACACACACACAGAGATACACCCCAAAATTATATAAGGTAGGATAAATAAAATCCTATCCTATAAGCGAGAAAAGTATGTCGTTTTCTGTGCAGAACACGTTCTAACAAAGTCAGGCCGAATTTCGCGCTGATTTGGCATGGAGGTGGAGAAACACAATACTGCCAGACAATTCACTTTTCGTTTTTCGAAATTCCTTGGATTTAACGATCTTACAAACGAAATGGTGAAAATCCTTAACAAATGGGCTACGAGCCGTGTGTCTGAAGCCATAACTCGAAGCCCTGATGGAATTTCTGTCTGTAATTTGGACCACTGACGGGTATTCGATGAGTGGGGATCACGCGCATCTTAGTTAGTTTGCCAAATTATCGGCGCATTCAGACTAAAAAAATCGATTTTGTAAAGTTACCAGGAAGCTTCTCTCCCGGGTTAACCACGCCCCCAGCACAGAAGAGGCGGCTTTCCCGCGACCCCTCCCCATGCCCTCTTTGGGATAATGGCTAGACGCCCGGTCCACCACGCGCATAGGCGAGGGTCGGATCCTCGGCAAATTTACCTTTTTGCTTTTTGATAGTTCAACAACACAACATATTTCGAGGCTCTCGGTATCCGCAATTTAGGCCAGTCAATCGCTTGAGCGCCGAAGGCCAAAGCAACGGTCCTTGGCCCAGGCTCTAGCGCCGCAGGCCAAATGCTGGAGAAAACCAGTAGCGCCAGCAGGCAATGAAATGGTTCTGAGAGACAGGCTCTTGCGCTGCAGGCTTTGAAAAACGGAAGGGTAATATATGGTTCCTAGACGGGGCCCAGTGGAAAAGGGCAGCCAGCGGACTTTTCCCACTAGTATGTCGCGCGAGTAGAACTAGTGGAAAAAGACCGCTTCGCGGCCCTTTTCCACTGGAGCCCGTCCGGGAATCATGAATTTGAATAGTTTCGTCTTTTAGCCTGCGGCGCAAGAACCTGAGTAATGGCGCCATTCTTTGGCCTGCGGCGCTATGGCCAGCATTCCGCTAGAACTTTTGAGCCTGCTACGCTAGTTACTGGTTTTTCCTGGGGGATTTGGCCTGCGGCGCGAGAGCCTGGGGCAAGGACCTTCTCTTGGGCCTCCGGCGCTAGAGCGAGACCTAACCAGGCCTAAACCGCACACACCGAGAGCCTAGAAATAGGCTTTGTTGCTAAACCACCAAAAAGCAAAAAGTTGTATTTGCCCAGGATCCCAACCCACGACCATTCGGGTGGTAGGCCAGACGCAATTCGACTACACCACGGGGGAGATGGGAACAGGCGGCGGGAAAGCCCTCTTCTGTTCCGGGGAAGGTGGCGGCGGAGAGGCACAGAGGCGGCCGGCCCAATGCCCCGGGGGAGTGGCCTTCGTGCGTCCTCGTCGCCAATTTTGTTAAGGATTTTTACTATTTAGCTTGTAAAATTGTTAAAAGGAGGAATTTCGAAAAACAAAAAAATGCGTGTCTGATAAATGTGTTTCTCCACCTCCATGCTTAAAAATCAGCGCGATATTCGGCCTGACGGCCGAGAAATCGTCATTACAGAAGACAAACATACTTTTCTCGCTTATAGGATAGGATA